GGAGAGCACTCTCGGTTTGAACAGTGAGCAGGGGGTTGAGGAAGAGGCACTCAACTGTCACTGCTGCTGCTACAGTGAGGAGGCAGGCAACGTGATGATGACGACACACAGACTGGAGAGGTACTGGCAGGGAGAGACTTCACACTTCTGTGTCTTTAACAAAACAAGATATTCACAAGAAGAATATAGTAGAGCCTATAGGCCTAGCCTTCTCTAAAGTGCAGTGCTTGATAAATTATAAACCTCAAACTCTATGTTGTTTAAATTGAGAAAAAATTTATTCAAAAAACAATAGCAAATTGAATCCAGTGAATTTTGTTGAATGATAAAACCAACATTTGTATATGAGCTATAGAGCTGTACAAATTGAGAAAACATTTACTTTTGACTATGATAGATAAATGTATGATAACAATTTTGCAATATTAGTTTTCATCTTCATATTTGTCTTTTTGACACAGTAAGTACAGTTCAATTAAAATAATGACTATTTCATAACTAATTGTCACCAATCAACTATAAAACTAAATTGTAGTTAGGCCTGCTATGACAACAAATTCTGAAGAAAATATAGACGTACATGTCAGTGTTGAAACAAATTTATTCCACTGACACATTAAATCTAAAGCAGATTATTCCCCCCCCAAAAAGTTCCAAATGTAGAATATTGTTCAAAACATGAGCTGCAATACATAACAAATGAAACAGGGGGAATTTATTATGCACTCAAGGCTGGGATATGATATGATATGGACTCAGTCCTGACAATACAAGTTATTAATTACACACTATACAGCCCAAATCAGAAAAATAACAAAAAACACTATTGTGCACCCATATAAATATTGACTTCCAAGTATTATAGTATGTAATGTATCATTCACTAAATGATATATACAGTATCGTGACAGGACTACTTGTACTCATATTTTGATAATTGTATCTGGACAATAAAGAGTTTAAAACCAACACCTTTTAGAACAAACACAGTGGCATTATTAAATCTAAATGTCAAAAAAAAAAAGGATTTGTGATTTTCATCTTTTCTTGTAAATATTATCTATCTAGAAGCATTCAGTCACAACATTTCATAATTTCTTTAGTAATAATGTATTTTAAAAATCCCACTCTACAATAGAAATAATCACTGACTAAATGACTAACGCCCAAATGACTAATGGTGTAACCATGAAACTATGAAACTATTGCAATCCATTTAGTTTCTTACACTATTGATTGATTATTGCATTGGCAAATATCGCAATATCAATAATGATGCGATATATTGTGCAGCCCAATGAGCTATTTATCTAATGTAGAAGAAAAGCTCAAGCCAACTAATCAGCCCCCCACTGAAGCTTTCATAGCAGATCAATGAACGACCCGGGGCTCTGGGCCTGTGCTATATTACACACCAAAACTTCATATTCATTCATTGATTTTACTTTTCAGAATAGTATATCACTGAACTCCAATGGGAGCAAAAATAACAGAGGGCTGAGGTCAACCCTTGTGGAAGGATGTTTGCACAATATTGATGGCGCGTGCAAAAAGAAATGACTAAATATGTGGATCAATAGCTGGTTTCCCTAGCCACGACAGGTTGTTTCAGATGGATATATATAAATACATCTTTATAGCTATAGCTAACAAACAGTGTTAAATACTCCCCTGAAGCTAAACTCTTTGATTAGTGAAGGCCAGAGGTGACTGAAGCCGTCTCTGGATGCATCAGTGCTATTTGCAGTAGCTTGGGGACACTAATGAACCTGCAGGTCACAATGCTATACATCTATCCTGCATTATACTAACTACAAGGCTGCCCTTTTTGTTGTATTCTTGGTAAATAAATAAACTGTAGTAGTCTCTTCAGAATGACCTAAGACGATGTGTAAACATCTTTGGCATAGCAGTGATTAAAAGCAAGAGGCCATGTGAGAATTGGGCATCTGGCTTCAGCAGCTAATGTCCAAGGTTGTCTTACTTTATTTACAACAAAACACAATTAGTGAGAACAACAGCCAACCTCACAGCTTCCACTGCACCACTACAGCCAGTAGGGCCATAAAGAGGGAGGAACCACATCATTGCCTGCTCCTTAATTAAATGAAAGCTGTTAGCTTCATTTGCTTCCTTATTTTACACATTGAAGTGGCCAACCCACCACTGAAGACCTCCCAGACGCCATCCCTGCTTGGCCTTAAATCATGAGTGGATAAACGGCTCGGCAGGTCCCTGCTGGACACCCAGCAGCCGCCCGGCGGCTACACCAGAACAGAGCATGTGGTGGATTGACACCTACCCAGCGATAAGTAATTCTGTAGAGGATTAGCAGCATGATAGCCTGATCAATACTGTGTGCTCAAGCCATTAGGAATGCAGTGAGGAAATGACCCCCTCCGGTAATAAAGCAGGGCATCTGGGTTCTCCTTCATTTGCCAGCTCCATTAGTGTAATGGTATCATTATCTGCCACAGCCGTATTTTCTGAGCTCATGCTTTTCCACAGCTCCACCAGCGGGGGTCTGATGAAGCTGCTCGCGCCCATGCCGAGTGTTCCCTTTTCTGCCATTCTACTCAGAGGCGAGATGTAATTCTAGCTCTGCCTGAGCTTATGTGCTACCCTGCCTTAGGTATCGATAGCCTTGTTTTATGTCAGTACCCAACACTATTTCTCCATTATTGGCTCATTAATAGAGTAAGCAGCATGTAGCTTTGGTTAAAAGGGAGAAAGTGATGGCCAGTAAAGTGCAAAGTTGCTTACTGTGCTAAATGTGAGACCCCCCTCTCACAAAAACACTGGGCCAGACATGACTGGATGTCAGCATTAGTTGCCATAAATCGTTTCCTTTACACTAATTCACGGGCTAACATTTTGTGGGGGAGAATTGATTAACCATGACTGGATGTGTGGCCACATAATCAGCTTTTACTCTGCTAGTTGTTAATGTAACAGAAATGCCAGGGGAAACACAAACCATTTTAATGAGTGCTCAGAAATTAAATACCCTAAACAGCTTGCACAATGTGCCACAACCAGAGCAAACCAATGAGGCTGATCTAAGCAATGAGCTGGGCTGAGCTTGAGACCTCACAACATCTGGTGACCCTGTGTGATCATTACTTACCCTGCCACTCACACACACTCACTCACTTCCTGTTTGGACACAGCTCTTCATACTTGTCATCGCGGCACAAATGGCAGTCCAGCATCAAAGACGACACTAAACTTGGGATTAGGGGACATGGCCAGAGTCGTTTTCACTCTGCCAAAGCTTAGGTGGACATTCAACCATTTGTTAAACATGATACAAGTTAAATATAGTTGAGCATACATTGCATTCTGATTCTGTGCTTTTACAAACACTGGCATCCACCTACAAAATTTACAGTGCCCAAACAACTGTGCATGCGAACATTGTATAACATGTTTTTCACAATTTTCACAATTATTTCACAGAATGCTTGTTATTGTACATTTGCTCTATGTTCCATCTTATTAATGAACTAAAGAAAAGGGACGCTAACCCATTAGGTGTGTGCCGCTCTGCCTGAGAGCCTGAGGGCCAGCTGGAATGAGTTCTATCTCTGAGCTGCTCATCTGGCCGCCATGACTGCTTTCATAAACAGGAGGAACCACGTCCTACATAGTTTCACTGCTGTCTAACATGATCCAAACACATGTGCCACAGCAGACAGCATCCAAGCCAGGAGATAAGAAGAGGCAGAGAAGCAGACAGATAGACAAATGGATGACTAGAAGGAAGGCAGCTCAGGACGCCTTGAGCTCAAGAGCAATCCCTCTCTTCCTTTTTCTTACTGTCCACAAACAGAAAGTCTCTGGTGTTTAGCATATGAAAGCTACATTAAGTCTGGGCCAGCACGGAAAACACCGCCAGTCTTCATAGGTTATGAAAGCACACATCTGTCTTTGAATCATAAATAAAATCTGTCTGTCTGTTTTTAGTGGGATTTTTGTTTCTACACAGCAACAGTCACAAAAACACGACAAAGTAGTAGGCTATTATATTTATATGTTTGAAAAAACATGCTAGCAAAATAATTTGATAATAACAATATTTGCTGAGATCTCTTGTCCACAGTTTCAAGGCATACTCTCTTGTTGTTTACAAACTAAACAGGTTCAAGAGTTGCTGTCATGGTTCTGAACCTAAATGAACCTAATCAAGCCTACAACTAGTCTATTTACTCAAGTGTGGGTGAACAATTTCAAAGATAACTTTAGAGAAAGTTATGCATTGTGCATTTTGTCTCAATAACGTGCTTTTTTTTTTTTTTTCTTTTGGTTTATTTGCTTTTTGTCCTCCACACTGAGCTACTCCATATTTAAATAAACTAACTTTTAGCAGTAGCCGCTCCGTGGCAGATAAACTTACTTGACCCTAGTTTCCTCCATCCTCAGCAGACCTGCCCGTTGTTATGGAGACAACTGTCATTAACACCGCGCGCCACAGCTGCGCGTGCTGCTACCTGGGCACCTGCCAAACCTAACAGGAACATTCGGACTGTTGTGGCCTATTACAGAGTCATGATCTATCCTTATTAGTTTGTAATAACATAGAAACCACTACATCTCAAGCCCGTAAAGCATGACTGCTCTTTACTTTCTATATAGCTACATTTATACTAATTTAGCTTTTTTAGCTTTTTTTTTTTTTTTTTTTTTTTTTTTTTTGGCATGGTCGCACTCCGTGTACAAAGACGACAGCGTGTACTCCATGCTATCGCTAAATATCAGCAGAATAATAAGGTAATCAACCCCGTTATATGACAACACACATATTTGTCCATTATTGTACACTGAAGGGGGAAGATGGAAAACACAATAAAGGAAGGAGGCAAGGTGAAGTGTGCGCTGATTCGCAGCTTTGCAGCCTTCAGAACGCAGCCAGCAGCATCACATTTGGAACATTAGATATTCATTGAGCGACACGGGCTTAGAAATAAACCAGAGCTAACGGAGAAAAACGCTATCAATACCTTTCTTCTCTTCTCCCCCTCACTGTCACCCGATCTTTTCATGTTCCTGGAGTTGTGTTTACACTGCCTCGCATTCACTGGTGGCGACTCTGGTCGTTGTAGTGCGCGAATAAAAGAAGACAAATTTTCTCAGCCTCTCTATTCAGGATTGTGCATATTACATACATAATAAGCTGTTGTGGTTTGGGTTTATATATTGTTTAGCGATAGAAAACAAAAGATGGCAATTTAAAGCAGGATAAGCGATAAAATGAAACACAAGGACTACAAATCCCACAGTCTTCCGGGACGTGAGGCGGGAGCTCTGTCGTCACACCAGCTGGAAACTGACAGATACAACGCACAATGCGCACTGAACGCAGACAGGCGGGTAGCCTTTAGTAAGATAATTATTTTGTTCTCTAAGTTTATAAAGGAGTTTATCAAGGAGTTCCCATGCATAATAAATTATCCATTTAAAAAATAAAAATGTCCCTAGGCCCTTAAATCTTTACCAGTCATAAGACGTCTGAAAGAGGTAGCCTATCAGCAAAAGGAGTTTTTAAATCTACACACACGTTTTAGAAACATGTGTTGAACATTGATATTCCTTGTGCTTTATCCCTTTTCTTAATCAAAAGCTGTGGCACTTTCATCTTTGATGTGTAAAAGTACCAATACTTTAAACATGCTCCAGTTCAAGTTCTGCCAACCCTCTTTCAACTCTTGCATGCATTTCAAATCCAGGTGTTATTCGGTCTGTGTGGGCTTCTCCAATGTCAGCCCCCTTTGGTCCAGTCCTGATCATGAAAGTATGCCATAATGTAGGTACACAGATTGCTAACATGTTTTGAATTTTGCTGAATTATACTCTTTCCATTGTTCCAGTGAGAAATAGGCTGCAGGAATGATTTTCACGGATGGTGCAGTGGCAGTATGAGGCTATGGTGTAAAAACAGATTTCTCTCTTCCAAAACACCTGTTACATGTTACTACACTTTGATCAGTGTCGTCATTAGTTCCCTTTGTAATCGCTTTTCTTTGATGGTAGAGCTGACCCAAGCAAGCTGGCTGGGTACCATGTTTTAACGCACATTTCCTTTTACCTGTGTTGTAAAATGCTCAAAAGCTCTCCTCCACTTTCAAAGATGGCCATGTCTCCAGCATCCTTTGCTAATAAACAGATGGGGTTCCTTTTGATTCCTATTTATAACATACATTTCCTTTACCCTGTCCTGTTCTTTCAAGGTGGAAATATGCTTGAAATATATCCTTGTGATCAGTTTCTGAAAACTAAATCCATATGCACACACTCTTTTTTCTCACAACCATATGGAAGCCTATAGCACCTTTTAAAGTTACAACTAAAGAGGAAAGTCTTATGACGTTGTAAATTATTTCTTTGTTTTATCTTATAATGTCAAAATGTGCCTTTATGTGGCATCCATCAGCCCACTCTATCATTACTCCGTGTTCCGTATGTGCCAAACTATCATCCACATATTTCTGTTGTCAATCATTTTTATGGAGAACATTTGAAAGAACAAAGTGTTCACTTGTTGGGTTTTTCAGATCTGGTGTTCTCTCAGAGTGAACATAATGTATTAGATCTTTTATGGCAGCCAGATTTGCCTAGCTTGTCCTACATGCTTGTTTAAAGACTCTATAGGTGGCCCTTGTCTGGATTTGTGTCAGAGTTCTAATATTCTTGATGTAACATATGCACATGGGCACTATAAATTTTTTTCTTAAATAAAAATTTAAAGTAGTCTTCAAGTATTTGGAATCATTAGGTTAAGTCCATATTGCTGCCATAACTGTCTGTAACTTTCCAAAAGTTGATAAATAGTATTTTCAATTTTTATACAGTTATAAAAATGTCAGTTTAGTATAAGAAATCTAGCCAAAAGTAACAAAAACTGTTCAGCATATTTGAATTATTTTTGAGGTGTAAAGGAATAGGAAAAAAGTTATAAGATACTGCACTGTTTTTGGCTAACTTGAATTACTTTAACTTTTTCTACTGTTACTGCTGAGCCAAGCAAGTCATCGTATAATGCAGTACAACGTATGCATATCTCCTACTTCATATCTACACTTCTATACAGTAGATGTATAGAATATCGATGCTTTTATATTGCAGTGTTTCCTATTAGACATCCCACTCCAAATCCAACCCTAGCTCTTTAGTAAACATAATTCTCATGTCCTCACTGTCAATCACTGTGATACGAACCATGTTGTACCGAAAGTATTCCTTGGATGTTTTAGGCTTGATAGTCACATCTGAGGATCTGTGAACAATCAGGCCTCATACATGGAGAGAAGCCAATTACCTATCCTACCAATGCAATGCAATGTCATTTGTCCTATAAGACTTTGAAGCTTGCATCTCCTTTGACCTTTCACCTTTGACTAGGTTTAAAGTAAGGAGAGGACATTTCGGCTATGATCCAAGTAAAAAAAAAAAGAAGAAGAAAAAAAAATTATTTTCTGTCATGTAGCCATTTAATCTACAACACGGTTGAATATGTTTATGCTTATCATAGCCGCATGTTTTCTTTTAATATTTTGCATAGCTTCAACCCAGGATGACCTGCTAGACAAGGGCTCTCTCTGTGATACAATGAGCAGTGAAAACGCTTGGAGAAGAATAGAATGTGAAGGGGACACGTTGCCAGAATGCGCTAGAGTAAAAGAGGACAGAGACTATTTTATTGTGGTTGTATTAAACCCAGAGCCAGCTGCCTTGCAATAATTTCCTCTCAGTGCATCAAACTATTGTACGGCCTAGAAAATCCAAAATACAAGAGACAGACCGCTTTCTGAATAGTGTTAGAGTTTGGGAATGTATTTGATTTAATTTTTGTGTTATCGGTTAAAGCTGTGGATACTACTGCAAAAGTGATAAACCACAATGCTTTGTCCTGTTCCACACATGGCTACAATAAGGATCGTAATTGTTTATATCCAGAAGTGGAAAAAGTAATCCTTACTGAAGAAAAAGTACTAATGGTCCAATTCTTACACTGCCACTAGTGCTATATGCTATACGGAAACTTTATTACTATTAGAGATAGATTGATATCGGTCTGATATTTGAACTTTTTTGTGTGCATTGATTATCAGATTTAAATCTCCATCACAGGCCAATATTTTATATTTACAAGCTTTTTTTTTAACACCTTAATACAAAGATAAGTGCACAAACTACACACCTTTCTTAAAGGCTTGTGGTGAAAAAAGGGCTGTGGGTGACCCCCACAAAGCTTATTGGTCATCGGTTTCTCTGGATTCAAACAATCGGTATAAGCACTAACCATTAATAAAAAACATATTGGTCAGTCCCTACTAGTCACTTCTCAAACGTCATCGATTTCACCAAATAATTCTAATGAAACTGAATGGAGTTAAGCCTAAATATGCAGGGTTTCTGTGTTAAATATGTGTATATGAAACCAAAACACAACACTGGGTAAGTTTTTGATGAGGAAATAACATTATAACATAGCTCAGAAAGTAATGTAATATGGGCCCTTTAAGACATCCAACCTTTTCTTTAAGCAGACAGACTCTCCGATTTTATTTCTATTATATGAGCAGATGGCACAAGTATGTACCCCCTCTCCGCTCGCTAACCCTTAATGCTTAGCCCTAAGGAAACTGTTATTTGTCAGTGCTATAAAGCAGATTGCTGCCCAATGGTTCCAATTAACATCAAAGAGTGCTTCACAGGCAGTAATAGTTATATCAAAACCTGAACTGTATTATTAAGGCTATACTGCCCTCCTGAAGATTATGGCTTTTGTTGAAGAAGGGGGTTTTCTTTCCCTGAGTTTCCATCCCATATGCTCCACTGACTAAGTTACACTGTGTGGCTTTGAAACACCCCCACATTAGGCCAAGTCTTTCTGTACCACTGGGATACCTGCTTGTCTTAACACCCAATGGCCTATAGTCGCGGTAATAAAAAGGTGCTACTACAAGAGCGATAGAAAAGATTAAAGTGCAGTTTGCTGAGTGGGTATAATGGGAAATGGGTTTGAAAATATTCCCAGGTGTGGTTGTTTTAAGACTGCATCAATGCATATGTAAGCATGATATTATGTATTTTATTACTCAATTAAAATGTGAATTGTACAGTGTAAAATTACTGTTTGAAATTGCAAAAATGATGAACAAATTAAAATTATAACTTGATTTGAGTGACACTAATATTAAAATGAGTAAGCCTAAGGTAGAATAGTATTATTAACTGTTTAATTCAACAATATGCAATAGCTGGAATCGATTTTCAGGGAATCCATGTCTCTTTTAAATGGTGTATATATGAATTCCTTGTAGACCATATTTTAAAATGTGTTTTAGAACTTAGGTGGAAGCTGTATTCTGTAACAAAACACACTTTTTAAACATTTTTCTTATTAACTCCTCTCATTTTCTGCCTATAGTCTATAGCAACTATTTAATTTGGACAGGTGTTGAGAATGTCCAATATATATCTTTTGCTACCACCTTTCATAAAAATTTATATACTTAAATCCACACTTTAGCCTTAGTGTATTGTCAAATCCTTTGGCCAAGTTGAAACCGCAGAGGTCTCTTATAAAGTGTCTGAATAGTACAGACATTATGAGATACAAGTTGATTAAGCAGCAATAAAGGGTTATATAGCACCACAGGAAAAGACTCTGGTGCACGAGCAAACGTCCTTATAGTCTAGGATGTGGTACACCCCTGTGAATAGAATAACTTCCAGACTTTGAGCGGAGGAAGCCCTTTTTGCTTTTGCTGTGTTTTGAATACCATGATCACCGCTCACTTTTATTGGAAACCTATTAAAAATGAGCCTTTGACATATACAAAGCACCCCTGTTTAAATCGCACGCACAAAGACATTATAAAACTCAATACGGAAGCACGTGTGTGTCCCATAGCCTGCTGAGGTGACCCGGTTTCAGTAAAAGCCTGTGCAGTATCCTTCACCACCGCATTGCAGATTAATGGCACATTTGTTCAGCACGAGACGATCACTCAAAGCCGGACTTAACTTTTAACTTTTTCTGAACGTTTGAAAGATGCTGATTTG